CCCAGGCACGTTGGCGGATACATGGAACCACGTGTTCGGCCGGTTTCCACTGAGACAGAGGTTCTCCTTCGACCAAGTGCCATGCGCCTTCGTGCTAGACGACGAGAAGCGCACGTGGGCCCATGCTTCGGAGCGAAAGCGCAAACACGTCAAGCTAGCATGTCCTGCTGCCGGGCTGCGCAAAAGACAGTGCACATTGCACATCGCTGTCTGTGGGGAGGCAGCAGGGCCACATCCTCCAGGAGTGATCCTCTTGCGCGGGCAGGGCCGCATCGCCCAGGAGGAGCGCCGGGCCTACGACGACAGGGTCGTCGTTTTGTTTCAGAAGTGCGCCTGGATGGACAGCCCCACGATGATCCAGACTTTCCAGCAGCAGATGGTCCCGTTTCTCAATCGGCACTATCCGAGACGCCTGCGGCGCGCCGCTTTTATCCTCCGGTTCGAATCCTATGTGTTTTACGCATGTGCTTATACGTAGAGTGACTCTCTTCTGGGCCTGATCCTATGCAAAATACGCATGCTCCCTCACATTGCCCTTCTCATGTGCCTCGAATCGCATGTGTTTTACGCATGTTTCTATATACTGCCCCTTGCTTGGGGCGCGGATCCTATGCGTAGGACAAGGACAATCTATGTGTGAGCACTGTTCGGGTAGTATTACGCCCTATGGTCACATTCGTGCTTTGCGGCGCGGTGGCGGATGTCGTGGATGGCGTTCTCCAGGAAACCCTTGGGCTTTGCGACTCGCTGGCTTCTCAAAGGTGCCAAGAATTTCTTGACGCATGTGCTGGAGCTCGACACAACATTGCGCATGGCCCTTGCTCCATGACAGAGCACTGGCAAGTCATCGACCGAGGCCTTGGCAAGATCACGAAGGATTTGATGAGGTACGAACAGGACTTATGGCTCATGGACCGCCACAACTATAAGCGCTGGGTGAAGAACATACTACTACTACTACTACTACTACTACTACTACTACTACTACTACTACTACTACTACTACTACTACTACTACTACTACTACTACTACCACTACCACTACTACTACTACTACTACTACTACTACTACTACTACTACTACTACTACTACTACTACTACTACTACCAATACCCATCCGATGCTTGTCAGCGCGGTGGCGGATCCACTGGTTCATCGCCAAGGCCGGGACGCCGCACGTGTTGGTCACAGGGAAAAGGGTCCCAGCCAGTGCCAAGGATGATCTGACGCCCGTGCAACATGTGATCGATATTGTGGAGGCGCGCGCAGCCAGCGCCGACACCCGCGTGGCTGCGCCACCTCCTCCGGCGCGGCCGCCGCCGGACAGCGGCGCCGCCGCCTCATCATCCGCGTCTCCTCCGGCGGCTCCGGCCGCGGAGGGCGGCGCCGCGGCGTCATCATCCGCGCCCCCTGCGGTGGCTCCACCTGCGCCGCTGCGCAGCGTGAAGGGCTCAGCCCGCGCTCTGACGCAGTTGGCCGCGGCATTGCGGGAACTCACGGAGATGCGCGACCAAGGGCTCCTGACCGAGGGGGAGTGGCAGGCGGCGAAGGCGAGAGCGCTCTCGTGATCCTGCCGGGGGGTGAGTTTCTTTTTTCAGGAGCCCATCCGCGGGGCCCAGCTTCCAGGCGCGAGGGAGATTGCCCCGTGGACCTTCCAGAAACAATTCCTTTGCCCCCCCGTCCCCCTGAGCGATCCCCATGGAGTCCCGTGTCGCGCTGCGTCGTCGTCGCCGCCGCCGCCGCCGCCGCCGTCGTCGTCGTGCACCCACCGACCCCTGAAGCACCCAGTCTTTCTTGCCTTCTTGATTCGGTACGATGGGGGCGACGCTTGCCACGAGCGGGTGGCCCCGTGGCCGCAGACGCACGCCAGCTGGGTCGTACGGATCGTCGGCCTGCGCTCATGCGGGCGTCTTCCCCGGCTCGACAAGCCCGCCTATAGGTTCAAGCAGGCGCTCGACCTGGGCGCCCTGAAGGGGTACGCCCGCGAGGGCCGACCCTCCGCCGTCCGCCCGGCCCTGCAGGACGGTGCCGCGGCGGGTGACCCGCCGATCGAGGTCGCGGACGTGGTGATGCCCAATCGCGAGGTGGTGCCGCTGGCCTCCTGTTCGGCGGGCGCTCCCTGCCTCGCCGCCTCCCCTTCCGCCGCGGCTCAGCGGCGGCGGCGGGTGGGGCCGACGACGGGCCCCCGGGCGACGAGGCTGCCGGCTCCGACGCGGGCGCGGCCCCTGCGCTGGCGGCCGTCGGCGACGACGCCAGCCCAGCGTATCCCCAGGCGGGGCCGCTGGACATGCCGCGTGGCCACGCGTGGGTGCTCATGGAGGGCGGCCGCGCTGACGACCTCGGCGACGAGCTGGTGCTGGGACCAGGCGGCCTCAGGCTGTCGGACTACGACGCGATGATCCTCCGTCGGGGGCAGTGCCGCCGGCCCGAGCTCAGCCCCCCCATGGAGGGGGGCGAGTTCGTGCGAGCCCGCCGAGAGGAGCTGGCGGGTCAGCTGAGGCCGGCGGGGGCAGCTCCACTGGGTCCTCCCCTGGGGCCGCCGCCTGGGCCGCCGGCCAAGGCGCCCGAGGGTGCGGGCTCCGCCGGTGGCACGGCCGCGCCGCCTCCAGTGGCAAAGGGCGCTCGCGCGCGGTGGAGCGACTACGATGAGCAGGGCGTGAGGTACACGCCATACCGTAGGGCAGTGCAGGAGAGCCTCAACGTGCCTGACCAGCATTGGCCCCTCGAGGGCCCCTCGACGGACTTGAAGGTGATGAAGTACATCGAGAGGGCGGGTGGTGACCCGCGTCCGTGGCTGCAGCTGTGGGCTCTTGCAAAGCAGGTGGACGCGAGTGATCAGGTGATGCTCGAGCCGAACTGTCTCGTGGGTATGATGTTCTACGCCCCCTCCTTCGACCAGCTGAGGGCCCCCGCGCTCGCCAGTTCCGAGATGTTGGCGCGACGGTTCAAGACCATCCTAGATGCGCACAGGATCCCGGGGCGAGCCCCGAGCTGGCAGATGGGCAGCTTCCACGGTGGAGTGACCGCGGCGGCTGATGCCATCGCGCCCGAGCTGCGGCAGTACGGCGCGAGGCGGGTGAAGGAGGAGACCGACGCAGAGACGGGGGCCCAGCGGGCCCGCGACCTCCCTGGAGGTGGCGGCGGAGCCGGCGGTGACGACGCGCTCGAGGGCACTGGCGGCGAGGGGCCAAGGGGCCGAGGACGAGGACGTGGCGACGGCGGTCGCGGGCGTGGCAGGGGCGGATTGCCCGAGGCCGGGGGCCCCGCGGCCGCCGAGAAATCATGAGCGAGGAGATCGCCGAGGGGAGTGGGCCCCCTCTCGGCGCGCAGCTGACCTGGCCCGGTGCTGGGCGCCTTCCAGCCTCTCGCGGAGAACGCCATCTGTTCCCTTTGCCGCGGCTGAAGGAGCCACATGCAGCGTGTGGAGGCGGTCGTCTTAGCCGCGGGCTGCGAGGCCGCTATCTGCGCATCCGACTGATCAACAGGGCTATCGACGCCCTGAACTGGTTGGTGAAGGCGGCCGGCTCGCCTGCAGTTGGCAGCGGCGATGGCGCGGACATCCGCAGCGAAGTGACTGCGCGCATCGATGGACTGGTACGAGCCCAGGAGCCGGTGCCTGACGCGCCTTCGCCGAGAGCGGCCTACCTAGAGCTGCTCCGAGGTCGCGGGTCCTACGAGGAGCCGGGCCAGCCGAACATAGCTCCCTTCCAGCTCGGGCTCGTGTCACTGCCGGAGAGCGCCCAGGACGCCCCGCGCCTGGGGCGGCTTCTCGACGCAGAGGGCCGACGTTTTCTGGAGGGTTGTGGAGAGCGGATGCTACGAAGTGTCCCAGATTTTCAACGCCTCCGACGGAGCGATCCAGTGCGGCCCCACTTGGACCCAGCGTTCACAAAGAGTAGGCGGCTATTGGTTCGATTCACGAAGAGGCTGCATTCCAGTGGCATGCTGCGATGCACGTCGGAGCTTGTTGAATTTGTCGGAGCTTTTTTCGTCTGGAAGAAGGGGGGGCAGAAGATGCGGATGATTACAGATGCACGCCCTACCAACCAACGGCTACTGCCTCCACCTCGAGTGGACCTGCTGACGGCGGAGGGCCTCTCGCGCCTCGAGGTCGCCGTGGACGGCGACCCGTGCCTGCTGAAGGACTCGAGCTGGGGCATCCTGCGGGCGCTCCGCCTGTGCCTCGGCGTTGGCGACGTGGAGAACTGCTTTCCCAGGATGGTGATGCCGCCCTGGATGAGCCCCCTTTTCGCTTTCCCCGCCCTGACTGTTAGCGAGCTCCGCCTGGACTCAGTGGAGACGGTGGAGGGCCGCGTGGCAAGCGGCGATGATGTGGTGTACCCCTGCTGCCGAGCCCTGCCTATGGGATGTTCGTGGTCTTTGTACTTCTGCCAGAACGCCAGCGCGAACCTGACGAGGCAGTGCGACCTGCTGCGGGAGGCTCGGCTCGCGACCGACCGCGGCGAGCCCATGGTGTTCAGAGTGGGCGGTGCTCGCGAGCAGGACCTGGCACTACGTGCGCGTGGACAACCTGGGCGTGCTGGGGCAGGGCGCGAGTGCAGTCAAGAGGGCGCTGGACGAGAAGGTGGCGGCCTTCAACAAGATGAAGCTCGACATCCATGAGGTGGAGTTCTTCGAGAGGAAGGGGTCGGCTCTCGGCGTCGTCGTGGACTGTGAGCGCCTCTGTACCTCCATCACCAGCAAGCGGCGCTGCCGCCTGGAGAGGGCTCTGGCCTACGCGTTGCAGCGGGGCAGACTCTCGGGCCAGGATTTGGAGTGCCTGCTGGGCCACTGCACGTACGCGGGCCCGGTGAGACGAGAGGTGCTCTGCGTCTTCTCTGCCTGCTGCGCCTTCGTGCAGGCCAACTATTGGGGGCGGCAGGTGATGTGGGCGTCCGTCCGCGAGGGGCTCAGCTGCTTCCGGGGCCTCCTCGTCTTCCTCAGCAGCGACACGGCGCTGCCCTGGAACCGCTGTGTCACGGCGTCGGACGCGTCCGAGAGCGGCTTCGGCGTTGCCTCCGCCATGGTGGACGTCAGGGAAGTCGCTCGGGTCGGGCGCGTGGTCGAGCGGAGCCGCTTCCGCCTCGACCTGGAGCTGGCGCCGCGGCAGCGTGCTACGCGGCATGCGGGCTTCGTCGATGACGACGGCCCCGGTCCTTGGCGCCCCTCGGCGCCCGAGGAGGCATCGGACGGCGCCTGGGCCATCGACGAGAGTTTCGAGGAAGTGCCGGCGGGGTGGCTGGACCAGGGGCGCTGGGCCGTCCGCCGCAGCGGGACCTGGGATAGGGCTGAGGGCATCGCCATTTTGGAAGCCCGCGCAGTCCTGGCCTCGGTGCGCCGCCTCGCCCAGTCGCGGTGGGGCCACGACATCAGGCACGTGCATCTTCGCGACAACATGGGAGTCGTGCTGTCGATCTGTCGGTCTCGATCAAAAGAGTTCTCGATGTTGGCAGTCATCAGACGCATCAATGCGTACCTCCTAGCTCGCAACATCCGTCTCATCGTCCGCTGGATCCCGAGTGAGCTTAACGGGGCGGCGGACGAGGCCTCTCGTATTTTTGATGATAACGCTTCCTGCTCATTGGCCTGGTGCATCCCGTCTTCATATATCTCGGCCAGACACCCAGGACCTCAAGGAGCCCCATGGGACCCATGTCGTCAGCAAGCAAACGTCGGAGCCTCTTTATCATCATCATGAGCAAGAATGTGAACACGAGCATCTGGGTAACAGTCATCATGAAGTACAAGAAGACAGCCAACATCATTACGGTCATTCAGTAAAGCCACACAACGTTAGCGATATAGACGTTCGTGAACATCATGAATTACATCTCGCCGCGGGGCCGCAGAAGTTTACCATGACAACGGGACATTTTGCAACAAATTTGTGGCTTCACAAGAAGATGCAAAGATTTACCCTGACAACGTACCCAATCCTTGCGCAATTCATGGCCATAATAGTTGGGCATACGTTCTATACTTTGATAGCGTGGCAAGGAGGTATATGGTTCTGCGAACGACACTTGGAAGGCTCGCAAACTGCACGAGTCGCAGGACACTGAGCTGGTCCCCTTTGCCCAGCAGCCCTCGAGAGCGGCGACAGTGTCGCAGAGCGCAGCCTCCCAGGGATGCCGAGGTCCCGCTCTGATCCGCGTAGCACCGCACTAAGCTGGACCCCCTGGCAGCTCTCGAAAGTGGCGACAATATGGCAATTCGCAGCTCACCAGGGATGGCGATGTTTCGCTCTGATCCGCGTAGCACCGTACTAAACTGGCCTCTCATCAGTCCTCGAAAGTGGCGACAGTTTCGCAGATCGTAGCCCCGCGGGGATGGCGAGGTTTCGCTCTGATCTGCGTAGCGCCGCATGAAGCTGCACCTCCCAGCAGCCCTTGGAAGTGGCAACGTTTTCGCAGTTCGCAGCCCCCCTGAGATGGCGAGGCCTAGTCTGATCTGAATAGCACCGCATTATGTTGGGCCCCCCCCCCCAGTAGCCCTCGAACGTGGCGATAGTTTCGCAGATCGCAACCCCCCAAAGTCGGTTCGCCTTGCTCGTGCTCAAGAGTCAGGAGTGATCAGAGGGCCCGATAAGCAACCTCCATGGCGGTAGCAATATCACAGTCCCATGGTAAAGCGCTCGCGAATCTTGCTCGTGGTGCAGAGTCCGGAGTGATCAGAGGGCCCGATGGGAAACCTCGAAGGGCGGCAGCGATATCACAATCCGAAGGGCAAGGGCGCGCGAGCCTTGTTCATGGTTAGAGTCGGGAGTGATCAGAGGGTCCGATGGGCAGCCTCGAAGAGCGGCAGCGAAATCACAAACCGATGGGCAAGCGCACGCGAGCCGCCCTCGAAAGTAGCTACAGCGTCGCCGGCCAAGGCCCCCCATCGATGGCGCGTTCTACTTTGGATTTGCGGCGAGTGCCCAATGCGCTGGCCCCTCCAGTGGCCCTCGAAAGTGGCGACAGTTTCGCAGATCGCAGCCCCCCAGGGATGGCGAGGTCCAATCTGGATCTGTGGCAAGTACGCACGTTGCCAGACCCCCCAGCAGCCCTCGAAAGTGGCGGCAGTTTCGCAGATCGCCGCCCCCCAGAAATAGCGAGGTCTACTCTGGATCTGCGGCGAGCCCCCACTATGATGTCCCCCCCCCCGCGAGTTCCGCAGATCGCAGTCCCCCAGGGATGGCGAGATCTATTCTGTATCTGCGGCGAGTGCCCGCGCTGCTGGCCCTCCCAGGACAGTTTCGCAGACGGCAAGGATGGCAAGGTCTATTCTGGATCTGCGGTGAGTACCCACTACGTTGCCCCCGCCCCCAGGGATGGCGAGCTCTATTTTGGATTTGCGGCGAGTGCCCAATTCGCTGGCCCCTCCAGCGGCCTTCAAAAGTAGCGACAGCTTCGCGGGTCGCAGCCCCGCAGGGATGGCGAGGTCTAATTAATCGGCATTTGCGGCGAGTGCCCACTATGCCAGCCCCGCCAGCAGCTTTCGAAAGTGGCGATGCTTTC